CCTCTCTTATTCAGAAGGTAATCACTATGAATTTACTTTGTATGTTTATGATCCATTAAAAAACACTCTTTATGCATACATTTACAGAATTCCATAACTCTGAGTGTTTTAAATTTAGGCAAGTGGCATGAATCATTTTGAGATTACCTTTTCCCACTTAGGGTTTTTTGTATTATGTAGCCAACTAGAGGCCCGGTGCATGAAATTCATGCAAGAATAGGCCCTTGCAGCCCCAGCTGCCTCGCAGCCCACTGGTCATTCCAGAAGATGGTTCTACAGTCAGGTCTAATTTAGCATATTAGTTTTCATTGTATAGGATAGGATTCTTTTGTGTAGGATTTGAGAGTGGTAATTCTGAGTCCTTGTACATCTGGAAATGTTTTTTTGTTTTCTTGGTAGATTGATATTTTAGTTCACAATCATTTTTCTTCAGTTTGGAACATATTGTTTCATTTTTACTTAGTGAGATCTGCTATCTGTTATATTTCTCTGCCATAGGTAACCTGTTTTATCTTTTTAGAAGCTTTAAGAACTTTTGTCTTTATTTTTGGTGTCCTGAAATATCACCTATTTGTGTCTAGATAGAGAATGTTTTCCAATATTTTTGAGTCTTTGCCAATCTAGATACAAAATTTGTTATTTCTTTGAGCATTCTTCCCCATCCTCTTTCCTGGTGGAATTCCTATTAGATTTGTTGATATTCTGGTTCTGGCTCCCACGTCTCAACAATTTCCATACATACATTCCCCCTCTATTGTTTTGTCCAGTGTTGTAGAATACCTTGGCTTGATCCTTCAGCTCACTGATTTTTTTTTCTTTGGTCAATTCTTGAGATTAATTTTTTTAAGTTTTTGTTTTTTTCCATAGCTTTATTGAGGGATAATTGATAAATGGTCTTTAAAGTATACAACTTGAGTTTTGTAATATACTCACATATAAGCACATAAATACACTGTGCTCAGCAAACTAATTGATATAATAACATATTCATATCCCCCAAATTTCCTCTAGCCTCTTTGTGTCTCCCCCGGTCTATAGGCAAAAATAGATCTGCTTTTTGACACTGGTTTGTGCTTTTTCAAAATTTAAATACATGGAATCATGCAGTGTATGTGTACTCTGGGAGGGAGTGGACTGACTTCTTTCATTCAGCATAATTATTTTGAGAAGTAGTTAATGAATAGTATTCTATTGAATGGATAAGGCAGAATTTATTCATCTGTTGGTATATGCATTTGCGTTGTTGGCATGTTTTGGTGATTATAAATAAAGCATCAGTAAGTATTTATATACTGAACATGTGCTTTCATTTTCTTGGTCAGACATCTAGGAATATATTGGCTGAATTTTATCATAGGTATAGTTTGCCCACTTTTTAGAAAAATTGTCAGTGCTTTATAAAATAGCTTTGTGTTGTGTTTGGTACATTTCCACCAGGAGGGTACGAGAAGTTCATTGTTCCACTCCTCGGCATCAAAATATGAAAGCTGATTTTTAAAATACCATCCTTTTACCTTCTGGTTTATATTTTAATTATATTTACACTTCTCTCCCTGCTCTATTTGCTGTTATGACCCAGTTTTTCTCAGGTGTTACTTTCTTTGTTGGATTTGATGCTTCATTGGATTAGTTTTTCTCATATATTTTGTAATTGGTTCTGTGATCCTCCTCTTTGTATTTTGACTTTGTCACAGCATTGAGGATATAGGTAGCACATGTAAACTCCTTTAGGTGTTTTACCAATCCTTCTAGGACAAGCATGTCAAACTCAAAGGCTAACAAGGGCCAAATAAACAAGGTTTAAGTTTATGTGGTCCGCAAAAAAAACCCAAAATCTTCAATTTTTATAATAGGTTTATTTCAATAGAGACATGCTGAAGGCAAAGGGCTGAAATTAATAATTGTTAACATAAAATAATAGAACATCTTAATAAAAATTAATATTTTTTCTTGAATATTAACTTACCAGAGACTGAATAACTGCACAAATTAATAACCATAATGCAAATAAACCTATTTTTCTTGTTCTCCGAAAGCAAATATTTTCTGTTGTGCACAAAAAAAAAAAAACTTTGGAAAACAGTTTGGCACTCAAAAGACTACACATAGTTACCTAGCAATTCCACTAATAGGTGTATAGAATGTGAATCATACCTCAACAAAAAGTTATTTTTAAAAATTAAACATGAAAGGATTTTAAACTTGTACTTGCCCATGTAATTGTTTTGTTAAGTTATATTTGCCCCTGCTCTACATTTTAAAACTGGAAACAGAATGCTAATTTACTAGCCAAGGGGAAGTAGTTTCTAGTTATCAGAATTCTCTGAGGAGAGGCACTGTCTTAGTTACTCTCCGGTAACTAAGAAGTTTGCAGGAGTAGGGAGTCAGGTCACAGCATCTCTCTAGGAAGTGTGCCTATATACATGAAGAAGCCTTCAGACCCCGTCTTCCCCTACCCCATTATGGGTTCCCCAACCTGGAAGCTCCTCTAAGCTTCAGGATCCAGAGAGGTTATTGGGGTTTCACTGGGTAGGAATGACTAAATCACTTACTCATCATTGAACTCAAATCTCCCGCTCCCTCTTCTCTTCCTGGAGGTCAGGGCTCCCTCTAATAACAAGGTACAGTTCCCTCTGGGTACCAACCTCCCTCCGGGCCCACGAGGAGTCTGCCCATTACTCACCTAGGACACTCCAGCTTGGTCTCCATCACTGTGTTAAGCCCATCAGGAAACTGCACCTGCATATCTAACTACAAGTTTACCCCTGAAAGAGTGGCAATTTACAATTTCTGTTTTTACTTTCTGTTTTTGCTGCTAGGGGAGAGGAGGTGAGAAGTGTTGCCGTCTTTTCATGTATGAGATTTATAAATGAGATTAATTTTACTTTTTAAATAAATTAAATTTAAGAGCACTTGCTTCAGTGCTGGAAACGACTCATTTACTTGTTTGTACACTCCTTACGTTCAAAGTTAACTTAATGCACAAGTATATGGCATCAGACTTGGGACATGGCTATTAATTTGTGTATTTGTGTAATGAACCTAACTCTTTATAGGAAGTTTGAACACATTTTTCATTGTGTAATGATTCTTTAGGAACCATATTTGGATACAACTTACCAATGTATGCTGTCTGTTTATTTATTTTGTAACCATGTTTGTAAATTTTATTTACGGTATTTTTCCTGGAAATTTAAAATCAAGTTTTGAAAATGGTATGATAAAAAAATCTTGAGGTGACGTAAAAACAGTGCTAAATAATTAAACTCAGCACTTTTGTTTGGAACTTCTCCAGTTTAATATCCACCGCATTAGTTGACAAACTATTATATCCTCAATTTGTTTTTGTATGAGATTTTATTGGAGCACAGCCCACACTCAATAAATTTATGTATTTGTTCACTCTGGTCTGCAATGTGGAGAATTTTATCCGTAGCTCCAGCAGACATCTAGATCTGAAAGACTCATTTCTCTTCTAATGTCTTAAACTAGCCTTTGGGCTATGCATGTGTTTCTTTTCCTTCTGTACTTTACTGATCACTTCATTGAGATTGGTCTTCCCTTTTTTTTCTGCAACAGGATCGCTGCATGTGGTAGGGAAGTGATGCTGTCTGAAGGTGACATGCTCTTCTCCTTTCTTCCTTCTGTCCTCTCGCTCCCTATTGTGGCCTCCTGGTAATTGGGGCAGGGTGGGATGGGGGAATGCTAATCTAAATTAAAATGAAAGTGTGCTAACTATTTCCCCATTACTTGGAAAGGGAGGCAGTTTCCTGGCCTGTAGAAATACAAGTTACCTAGTTTTTGCCACAATCTGCTTTGAGAATGCAGTCTTTTGAGAATCAGAATATTTAGAGCTTCTGGGGGGCAGGGGGAACAGGTGTGTATTTAGAAATGTATTATTATAGAAGACTTCAGAAACACTGAAGTTAGTCCTTGCTAGAGATTGGGGGTGAGGAAGTCCATAGATCGCAGGTTAGGAACCCCTGCTCTAGCCCCTCTGCTAGAATCGAGTGAGAAAACAAAGTAGGCTGTTACGGGTGGGAAATAAAACTGATGTTAATCAACAGTGAGGAATTAAGTGTTCTTCACTACTGTTATACCTGAGGATTTGTTCAGTATTCGTTGATCAGTTTTTAAATGTTTAAGTATAAATGTGTGACTATAATATTATAATATGTAATTCTGATGTTGACTACATCTGACATTAGAATTTCAAATATAGACATTTGAGAGAAATAATTATTTTTAGGTGTTCTCAAAATAAATCATGATTTAGGATAGATCTCTCATAGTGTTTTCAGATTGTGAAGGAAAGAAGATTAAGCCCTTAATGTTGAGACCTGCATCTGCTATATCTTGCTTTGTGCTCAGCAGTAGAGTAGTGAATCCCATTGGTTGGGTGCTTGTTTCTGGCCTTGTCCTTTTCACTTTCGCATGAGCCTTCCATTCAACCAGTGTTTCCTAAACTTTATTCATTGAGATACCATCTTCATAATTTGCCTTCCTACACATTTCCTGGCTACTTTTAAATCACTTTTCAACACTTAATGCAAGTAATTATTGTGTGAAATATGGGTGATCTACTAATTTTCTTCTGTTTGCCACTTAAAGAAACATGTACAGATTGGATTTGTCCCACCTAAAAGCATCTTTTATCATTCTGGAGGGCATCAAGTTCCAATTTGGGAAACATTCCCCTTTGTGCTGGAAGTTAAAGCTCTGACCTTGAACTAGAGAATGCTCTGTAGAAGCTACTTGTACTTGGACGTATTAGTGGAGAGGAGGGGGTCACAGGATGGGTGGGTGCTACCTGCTGAGATTCTCCTTGCTTGGGCAAATTCATATTCTGAATATGGAGACATTTTGGCTGTGTGCATGGCAAGCTTGGAATCCTGGCCTTGCCGTGGTTGGCTTTTTTTGTTTTGTTTTTTTAATCTGGACACATGCACACACAATTATGTGTATTTCCAAAATTCCATAAATTTTGTATTCTTTTACAGGTTTGATCTTGCTCTTCTACCTAGTCTTTTATGGGTTCCTGGCTGCACTCTTCACATTCACAATGTGGGTTATGCTTCAGACTCTGAATGATGAAGTTCCAAAATATCGAGACCAGATTTCTAGTCCAGGTAAGGAGCTTGCACTTGTGGCTTTTATCTCTATCAAATGTTTTACATAGCAGATAAGATAGTTCAACCTTGGCGTTAGGTAATGTGAACGATTTGATTTTTGTTTGTTGTATAATATTTACTTACGGATACAGAGACCTTTAATATTTACATACTGATACAAAGACCAGTGCTGATAAATTTTGCATCCTTTGCCAGAAGTAAGCAGAAATAAATATTGAGAATTATAGTAAAGCCAAATTTGACTGATGAAATTATAGGTATGAATGACCTTTATGAACACGTGTGGCAGGTTCACTTTGTTCTGAATTAATTTACTTATAAAGTATATGTTTTGGCTCTAACTCAGGTCAGAGCCTTGGTCTTATAAAATGCATGCTTCATGGTTTAATTGCTTAGTATGGAAGTGGTAAATATTAATATTAAATAATGATACATCAATTGAGAACCAAAGGATTCTACTTTATTAGTAATAATCTTAAGGGGGGGGGGGGGACTCCAGGATACTTTAATACAGAAAAAAATCTTAACTGAAACATTGTTTAAATCATGTTGTCTTCCTGTTTTTTGGTTATATTTAAACCCTCCTTTCCTTTTTCTGTTTTGTTTTGTTTTGTTTTGTTTTTGGTTGGTTTGTTTTTTATTGATATTGGTGAGAAGTGAGGGAGGAAGAAAATGATTTGTTGTTCCTCTTATTTATGCATTCATTGGTTGATCCTTTTTTAAAATATAAATTTTATTGATTTCAGAGAGGAAGGGAAAGGGAGAAAGAGAGATAGAAACATCAATGATGAGAGAATAATTGATTGGCTGCTTCCTGCCCATCCCACACTCAGGATCGAGCCCAAACCGGAATCAGACCCAGTCTTGGTTCATAGATCGATGCTCACACTGGCTGGGAATCCTTTTATTTTTTAAAAAGACTTTTAAATTGATTTTCAAGAGAGAGGAGGCGAGAGGAAGGGAGAGAAACATTGATCTGCTGCCTCCTGCACTTGCCCCACCAGCAATCTAGCCTGTAACGGAGGCATGTGCCCTGATCGGGATGTTGCAACCAGCAACCTTTAGTGCAAGGGATGTTGCCCAGACAATTGAGCCACACTGGCCAGGGTATTGGAAGAACACTAACCAACTGAGCTACCTGGCTGGGGCTGGAACAGTCTTTGATTGCCACTAGCTCTGCCTTTGTTGGATATGGCACTTGTCTTCAAGGTGCTGGCAATTTTTATAGGAAATACTAATGTGCCAGAATCCCAGTGTACCTTCTCTAAAATGTGAACAACTTGTGGAGGCAGTAGAGATGGAAGATCCTAATGGAGGGGTGGGATCTGGCTGGCAGGCAGGCCTGAGGTGGGGATTTAGCCGGAGGCTTCCGTTTGGAACGGTGGTTCTCTTCCAGCAGGCATTTGCCCTCCAAGGGCCATTGGGCAGTGTCTGGAGACATTTTTGTTCGTCACACCAGAGCAGTGCCACTGTGAGTAGAGAGGCCAGGCATGTTGCTAAATAAACATCCTACAGTGCACAGGACCACCCACCACAACAAAGAATTACCCAGTTAGCATGTTAGTGCCAAGACAGGAGCCCAGATCTGGATCCTCGCTCACTGCATGGATTCTGAGCCCTACCAGCAGCCAAACTGAACCAATTTCCCCAACTATTTTTCTTCAGTTTATTTAATGGTTTTTCCTTTGTTTGCAGCTAGTATTTGTTAAAACATCATAAATAAGTCTTAACCCTTTCAGTTTATTTGCATGAGTATCAGACAAGCTCCATGCTAATTTTCCCTCATCTCTCATCGTAGCTGTTATCTTTCAACCTAGACTAATTCTAAGATAATTAGTTTTTGGCTAAAGTTGTTGATTACCATCGAACATAGTCTGATCTATTTCAGAAATATTAAACTCTGTTTATAATTTCATAAATAATATAACCAGAAAATATGTTTAATATAGTTAAGTAAACAGTTTCTTAAAACTTATTTACCAAGTATATTATGGTACTTAATGTATCATTACTTCATTTTTTTTTTAATATATTTTTTTGATTTTTCACAGAGAGGAAGAGAGAGAGATAGAGAGCTAGAAACATCGATGAGAGAGAGTCGTTGATCAGCTGCCTCTTGCACGCCCCCTACTGGGGATATGCCCACAACCAATGTACATGCCCTTGACTGGAATCAAACCCGGGACCCTTGTATTTTCTAAGTTGTGAGGTTTTTTTTCTTTAAACCATTGCCATCATTTCAATGGGTTTGTATCTAAAAAAATGCTAGTTTCAAATTGATGTGCAGGTTTATATGTATGTATGTATGGGTGTATGTATATGTAAATAACATAAACAGGTACAGGTACCCTATAGACATACACACACTCATATCCCAATGGTGTAAATTGGAAAGAGAGAAGAGTTACTATAGACCTCACATTCTATTGTTCTTTGTTTGGGGTGAGCTAAGATCTTTATTCAGAGTTTGTCAAAACGCAGCTGTACTGCACTCTCCTGCTGTAGATTCTTAAGAATTTCAAATAGGTTGTTAAATAGCAGGAACTAGGACTCTGAGAGCATTGCTAGACAATTTAAGAAGTAGCTGGTATCAGAAATTCAGTTTTAGATGTTCATACAGGTTTTTTTTAAGTTGAATTATCGTTTTAAAATTCTCTTAGAAATTAGTCATGTAAAGTAATGCAATTTTAAAATAGCATAGAAATCTGCATGTTTTATTTGGGGGGTTTCTTAAAAGTTAAGTGTTTTTATATTTTGTTTTGTTCATCCTCAGGTTATTTTTTAAAAATATATATTTTATTGATTTTTTACAGAGAGGAAGGAGCTGGATAGAGAGTTAGAAAAATCGATGAGAGAGAAACATTTACTAGCTGCATCTTGCATACCCCACCAGGGATGTGCCCACAACTAATGTACATGCCCTTGACCGGAATCGAACCTGGGACCTTTCAGTCCGAAGACTGACGCTCTATCCACTGAGCCAAACCAGTTTAGGCTAAAAGTTATTTTTGCCATTGATTTTTAGAGAGAGTAAAAGAGAGGGAAGAAGGGGGTTAGAGAGAAACACACACACATTGATTGTTTGCCTCCAGAACTTGCCCCAACTGGAGGCCATGGAATGAAACTGCAATCCAGGTACATGCCTTCCCTTGACTAGGAATTGCATCTGAGACCCTTGGTTTGCAGGCTGATGCTCTAACCATTGAGCCACAGCAGCCAGGGCAAAAGTTAGGTGTTCGTATAGTTACATGCAAGCTGCCTTGACTCTGTTACTGTTTTACTTGCAGCATAGTATATCTCATTCCTGCTATAAAATCTTAAGAAAAACTACCTGACATACACAGGTTGTCCTCTCCTACATTAGATGGTCAGAGGTTTTATTTATACTGTCGACCTAAGAAACGTTCACACCTGTAGAGAATTTTAGTAAGAGTTTATTTTAGCTCAAACTGAAGGGATTGGTGGGAAGCAAGATCTTAGATGTTCCCCAGAATGATAGTTTGCAGTTTAAGGAGGGAATGTGAGGAAGATTACAAGAAGGGGAAAGAAAGCAAGGCTCTGGGCATTGATTACAGGATAGTTAACAAAATTACTAACAAAATTATTTGTTTTCTTGAGGATGGTTACCCTGCAGAGGGGTCTGTAAAAAAGGCATTTGAAAGGTGTTAACTAGGTGCATAAAAACAATAGACAGGACTTGTCATCTAATGCTTTATAAATGAGGAAAGCTTAAAGTTAGGGGCCTGTTTATATTGTTTACAGATAAATAATGCTTACATTTTTTGTTAATGAACTCATGCAACATGATTATACAGAAGGGTGATGACTCCTGATAAATTTTTGGTGTTGCTACTCCAAATTCAGTATGAGAAACATTTTATAGAGCAATGTTTATTATGAAAGGAAGAATATTTAACCATAGAGTTAAAATTGTATAGGCCTCTTTTACTGAATAAGGTAAGTTTTTTGTGTTTTTTTTTTTTTTTTTTAATGAATGTTCCCATACAGCTGTAATTTGAATGACAAAAGTGTTTAGATTTAATTTGCTAAAAATTTTCTCTATATATTAACAAGTAGCCAAAACCTAAAAATATTTTATAGAAAAATGAATATAGAGTACAAAGTTATACAAAGTAAAACATGCATCTTTTAAGGAACAGAGAAATTATAATTAATTGTAGCCAATCAGATTTAGAGAGTTATCTAATTGGTCTGAGATGTCTTTGAGGATTTGGAATTCTCTTCATTGTAAATGTTGACCTTAATAGTCAGAAATGGGAAGTTCTTGATAGTTTCAACCCACCTGTGAACACAAGTTTTCATGTGCCTTACTGAGATCTGTCCTTTTAGGGGTAAGAGGAAAGAGAGAAGGAATTTACTATAGTTAACTTACCCCTTTTTCTTTTATCTCTTTATAGGACTTACGGTTTTTCCAAAACCAGTGACAGCATTGGAATATTCATTTAGTGCATCTAATAGAGAGTCCTATAAAAAATATATTGAAGACCTTAAGAAGTTTCTAAAGCGTAAGTGTTTTTTCTTAAAGTGAACTAAAATTTTTTATTTGTTATGGAAACTAATACAAAATTATGATTACATTGAGAACATCATTCTTAGAGTTTATTTTGCCTTTTTTTTTTTTTTTTTTTTTTTTTTTTTTTTTTGTCTGTCAAACAATCAACTAAGGACTTATAAGTAATTTCATGATTAGTCATGATATTCTAATATTCTAACTTATGGAAAGACTTAAGGGTCTAAGCCAAACAAGCTTTTAAATTTTTTTTTTTTATAGCTTATAAGAAGTACGTAAGTTTATTGAGACATAACATTTATTTTAGTATATGTGCTGTCGAAGTGAGCACAATTGAGACATAACATTTATATCTGCATTAAGATGGAAAGTATTTGAGTAGTAGAGCAAAGCTATATTATATAAAACCAGAGGCCCGTTACGGGAAGATTCATGCAATAGGCCTTCCTTCCCTTGGCTGCCGGCACCGGTTTCCCTCCGGCACCCAGGACCCAGGCCTTTGCTCTGGCCACCACTTTCCATCTTCACTCCTGCCCGAGTCTTTGCTTCTGTAGCTCCCTCCCCTGCCTGGCTGCTCCGCTCTGCATGCATGCTGCCCAGAGACCTGGAGAGGCTGGGGGGTGGGGCTGCCTCCATTTTTTGCTGTGTTTATTTGCCTTCTCCTGATTGGCTGGTGGGGATTATGAAGTGACAGTCAATTTGTATATTTCTCTTTTATTGGTGTAGATAATGCTTCTAAGTATTTGGATCTTTTGCATCCAGTGTTGTGCCTGTGGGAAGGACTAGGAAAATTGCTTATCTTTAGAAAAAAAAAAAAAAAGAAGAAGAAAAGAAATCTATGTATCATTTTGATTTTTTGGAGTTAACCAGTTGTAAATCTTTCCCGCCTTGGCCCAGTTTTTTTGCTTGTCCTAATTCCATGCTGTTAACATTCATATGATCACATGAATAATCATCAAATGCCCTGGCCTCTTGTTTCTTGATTGTCTGATCTCTTCCTTGGCTGTACACTTACAGCCTCCTTAAGCATGTGGGACTCCATTGCCAAAATCACTGTGAGGCTTCCCTACCACAGCCTCTGTTCTAGTTTGCTTATTTAACTTCCTCTCACTATTCTTCTGCCTCACTGGGACTTTCAAACCACGGCCTTTTTTATCCCAGTCAGTCCCTCTGTTTCCCTTCTTATCAAGCTTAGTTCCATGGCTTTTTACTCTTGCCATTACTCTAAAATCCCTTGCTCTTAAAATCTCTCTTAATCTACTGGTCATGAATTGCAATTGGATGAAGCCATAAGACTCTTGGATGAAGTTCTTCCTTAGAGCCTGCCTCTCTAAGCAGCCACGTGCTGCTGAAGAATCTTTTTTTTTTTTTCTTTTCTTTTCTAATAGGTTTTTGTTAATTTCAGAGAGAGGGAGAAAGGAATGAAAGCATCAATAATGGAGAGAGTCATTTACCGGCTATTGAGCCCACAACCTGGGCCTGTGCCCTGACCAGGAATCAAACCATGACCTCCTGGTCCATAGGTTGACACTCAACCAACCCACTGAGCCATAAAGGGAGAGCTGAAGATTTTCAACAGGACTAAATAGCACTGGAATACTTGGTCACCTTCTTGGACTTGCTCTGCTACTTGGCAAGGTCTATAGAATTTCTCTGAATAATTATTTACAACCTCTATTTTCCTACCTTTTCCCTTAGAATTTATAACAGTGGTTCAGTCAATGCCTGCATTTACCATGGTGGTCCCATAAGATTGTAATGGAGCTGAAAATTTCCTATTGCCTAGTGACACAGTAGCCATCATAAGGCAACCTATTACACAAATACTGTTGTGTTACAGTTGCCAGCACTATTCAGTATAGCAATGTGCTGTGCAAATTTGTAGCCTAAGAGCTATAGGAAAACAGAATTTGTCACCCCAAAATGTCTCTGACCTAGGATTACTTTAGGTTGGTTAATTTTGAGAAACAGCAGCCATTTGAGCAGCTCAGCAAGCCAACTCGAAGTGGCCCTTGGTAAAAGGCCTTTCCATTTGTACACGTGATCCCCATTTGTAAGGGAGCCGACCTTCTCTCTGGACCCTCCCATCGATGCAGGAGACAGAGACGCAGACCTGCAGCAGCCGTACCCTTGTTTGCCGTGCTCTCCCAGGTGGCCTCCCATAGCTGACAGCCCAGCCCAGCATCTTCCTCCTCTTCAGCTGAAGACGGCATTTAAGGTGGTAGCTTCAGGCCATTTTGACAAGTTGCTCAGTTTTCCTGGGTCTTTCCCATGTATGCAGGCGGTATACATGTTTTTATTGGTTTTATTTTTTTTTGTTTTTGTTTTTTAATATATTTTATTGATTTTTTTACAGAGAGGAAGGGAGAGAGATAGAGACGTCGATGAGAGAGAGACATCAACCAGTTGCCTCTTGCACACCCTGTACCGGGGATGTGCCCGCAACCAAGGTACATGTCCTTGACCGGAATCGAACCTGGGACCTTTCAGTCCGCAGACCAACTCTTTACCACTGAGCCAAACCGGCTTCGGCGATGTTTTTAAACTTGTTTTTCTCCTGTTCATCTGTCTTTTATTATAGGGATGTTTTAGCCAAGAACCCAGAAGGCCAGGACAAACCATTTTTTCTCCCCTAAAGAGCAATAGGCTATGCCCTGTAGCCTAGGTGTGTAGTACCATACAAGTTTGTGTAAGTGAACTCTATGACATTTGCACAGTGATGAACTAACCTAAGGCTGCACTTCTCAGAACAGACCCCATCATTAAGTGGCACATGGTAGAATCCTATCTAATAAAGAGTGGATATGCTAATTGACCCTCACACCATCGCAAAAAAATGGTGACAGCCACAAGATGATTGTGCCTAGTCCCCTGAGCCCCCCAGCCACCTAGGGCTGGCCCGAGGCGCAGGCAGGCCTCAGATGGCGGCTACCCAGCCACCCAGGGCTGCCCGAGGCTTGCGCTGCCAGCAGTGGCAGCAGCAGAGGTGTGATGGAGTGTTGCCTTCCCCTCATCTCAGGGTCACCTTTCACCCCTGAGGGCTTCCAGACTGTGAGAGGGGACAGGCTGTACTGAGGGACCCCCTCCTCCAGTGCATGAATTTTTATGCACCAGGCCTCTAGTAACCTATATTTCTGCTTCAAGAGTAAATTGAAACTCAGATAGGAATTCCCTCAGTTTCCCCTTTATTAGTAAAACAAACCAACAGTTGTAGCCATTTTGTTTGGTATCCCTCCTGCTCTGAGGAGGGAGCTGCCTTCTGTCACCTAAGATCACCTGTACACCAGCCAGGCTTTGGATCTCATCCCTCTCACTGTCTCAGAAACATGCTATGTACAGTCCTTATGTACATTTAGCCTCTCATTGATCTTTCCTGTCAGCATGCAAAAGCCCTCAACTCTCTTCTCTTTTAAATCAGAATCCTCTTTTGAATCCCACATCTTCCATTAGCTATCTTCCTAAGTCTCTTTCCTTTTATGATTAAATATATACTTATTTTTTGTGAGATATGACCGTGGTTTAAAAACGCAATAGTCAAGAAAGGTCTGTAATAAAAATAGTAGTTTCCTGCCTCACCTTTAGCTGCAGTTCTATTCATTCAACACATACTTTTATGAATGCTTTTTCTGTGTCAAGCATGCTTCTAGGTTCCATCAATAAATAAAAGAAAAATGTCTTTGTGGCACTGTTGCCCTGCGTGGATTAGAAGGTAGTAAGTGTAGTGAAGAGGAAAATAGAGCAGGGGAGGGAAGGAGGATTGGGAAGGCTGCAGGTTTGAAGGTTTGAAGGGTGGGCTAGAAAGGCCTCATGTCTCTTTGCTGGAACATCAGGGGAATCTTTCAGGATGAAGACTAAATTCTCAAGTTCAGTTATACCCACATACCAGTCGTTCTTTTGGGGCACTATTGCATCGTATATAACCTGCTAAGTAGTATCTTCCAACACACTGCACTCACTTAGAGCAGGCACCCTGGTAGGCTTGCTCACTGTTGAGCCATTGTTGCCTAAGGCTGTGCTAGTGCAGAGCAAGCATTTGATAAGCTGATTGCATTTCTCCCTCTCCTTTCCTCCCATCTCCAAGTTATAACCATTTTACTCCTTTACCACTTTGGAGTCAATAGTTACCTCCATCTCTACTACAGTGCCTTTCTTTCTTAACATTAGCTCTCGGCTCTGTCACAGGTCCCATTAGTGTAGATGGCATAGCACTGTCTATCTTGAGATTCTTCGATTATGATTTTATACTTAATATCTATCTTCCCCACTGCACTGTAAGATCCATAAGGGCAGGAACAGTGCCCTTTTAGGTCCTCACTATTCTATCTTGGGCCAGGAGCAGAGGCGTCATTCAGATAATGCTGTAGCCATGGCTGGGACCACCTCATGATGACAAAAGATACTGATCTATAATACAGCTTGTACCAATGTCGAAATGATATAAACTTCAGAGGAGTAGATAACTCTTAACAGTTAAAGGAACAGACTTAATATTCTTCATCTAAAATTATCTAGTAATTAGCCTCGCTATTTTTGTCTTCCAAGAATGTTGTCCAGAGGAGGACATATTCCTAGTTATGTTTAAGATCTTTTTTGGCTGATCTGTGCACACATATATGTTTCCTTTGTAGCTTATACTTCAGAAGCACAGAAGAATCTCAGAAACTGCCAGGATGGAGCCCTCTTTGAACAGAAGGGCCCAGTCTATGAAGCATGTCAGTTTCCTCTCTCCTTACTGGAAACATGCAGCGGGGAGAGCGATCCTGACTTCGGCTACTCAAAAGGACACCCTTGTATTCTTGTGAAAATGAACAGAGTACGTACATATTTTGCTGCTGTTGCTGCTTTTCTCTAATACCCTTATGAAGAAGCTGTCGGATATTTTTAATGTCTCATTTAGGATAGCTTGTGTAAAGGGCTAATAGTGATACTGATTGACCTTTGGAAAAATTAATACAGGAGGCAAACAAGATTGGTTCACAAGTTGATCATAGTTTAGGCAATAAAACAACTTCCGCTTTTCCCCTTTGGAGCGAGTTGCATGCAGGCAGGCATAGATGAATGCTTCAGGAGACAGGTGTTCTGGGTGTCATGTCCAAAGCATGGTTTTGCTAATGTGCAGTATCATCTTTGAAGACCATGTTGTAAAGCAATTTAAAATCCCATCCTATCTAATAAGGAGGGAGTATGCTAATTGATTGCCACGCCCTCAGAGATGGCGGCACTCAGTCCACTCAACCCTGACTGGGTGGCAGGTACACAGCACACCCAGGCTCGCCCCCAGGTGGGTCCAGCCATTCCATGTGCCTGGCTCAGGAGTCCCCCAGTCCCCTCAGCCCCCCAGCCGCCCAGGGGGCTGGCCCAAAGCACAGGCAAGCCTCGGATGGCAGCTGCCCAGCTGCCTATGGTCAGCTGAGGCTTACACTGCCGGCAGTGGCAGCAGCAGAGGTGTGATGGGGGCATCCCCTTCCCCTGATTGCCAGGTCACCTCCCACCACTGAGGGCTCCCAGACTGAGATGGGCCAGGCCGAGCTGAGGGGAGTCCCTCCACCCCTCCAATGCATAATTTTTCATGCACTGGGCCTCTAGTGGGGAATATATGAAGTTTTGACTTAGATTTAGTAGGAAAGCACATTTTTGTAATACACTGTACAATTAAATAGTAGAAATACAAATAAAGCTGCATTATAATGAGCTCAGTTGTAGCCAGTTACTGGTATTTAGCTATGTTGTGCAGAAGAGGTGCCTGAATTGTATAGCTGTCAGCAAATTAAAAACCAACGTTCTCTCCTATGTAAATGATAAAACTCTGTCATGGTGCAAAGGACACTGCTTCCCTTCTGCAATGAAGTGATCCCTAACCCCCGTGCTCTGCTGCTCTCTGAATGTTGTCCTGTGGAGTTGTGTTCTGATAGTTACCCTGTTAAGGCCAACAAGGTCTCCCTTTGAAAAAGTGATGTCATTCCTGGACATTTACTCAGAAAAGGGGTAGTTTCATAAATAGGTGTAGATCTCTCAAGATCATGAGTTCACATATCCCATCCAATAAGCAAATTGCTACCGTCCTTAATAAAAGGACAGCTTAAGTTTTAGGAAGTTGGCACTGCTAAATAAGGAGTCTCCCTGGAGGGAGGACCAACTAGACCCTAAAACTCCCATGCTGACACCCTCCAGCCGCCGTACTCCCCTCCCCCAGAGGACCGTGACAGCATCTGTTCATCCCACAGCACTCTGGAGGTCGTTCGGAAACACTGCCTGACACATCTTAGGCATCAGTAAGTGATTGAGGGTGTTCCAGGCAGACTGTTAAGAATCAAGATTAACAAAGTAAGCATAATGTAATGTCTTTTGTGAGAAATACTTACATTTTACAGGCATTCACAAATAAAATGCATATAAATTCAGAATGCTAAAAATCCTCACAAAATAGATGAGTAAATATCTGTTATCATTCATACAAGAACTAGTTATGTCAACTACAAACATGCAGGTAGCCTCATTCCAAAGAACTGAATGGTGCTGAGAGTCTTAATGGGATTATCCCCAGTGTGTCCTTTTTGTGGGATAGAATAGATGTGAACTCTGATCAGGCTCCCTGGAAACATGACGGAAATGTGAGATTGTGACCTAACATGTTTTCATAAAGAAAGGTAATTATATTGTGCCTCTATAATTTTTATCCTTTACATTATTTGCTTATATAAATAATGAAACTTAAAGGTATCTGTCTGGTTGTTTATTAATTTAAGAGTAGCAACTGTGTTTTGGTCAATTCTTTGGTAGCTGATGTATTTACTGACTTGCCCTAGTACAGTAAGAAGATAGCCAGTTGGTAAGATTATTATATTGAAAAGTTCATTCTGCTCCTCTAAAATGAAATTAACATAAAAGGCACAGGTTTCAATATACAGAATTACTGTTCATCTCAACCCTTGCACTGCTGGTTCCTGTGGTTTACATTTGTGATGTTTTAATCAATCATTTTTTCTCCTTCCCTCCTCCCCCCCTCCCCACACCTTAGATAATTGGATTAAAGCCTCAAGGAAAACCAGCAATAGAATGCACTAGAAATTCTAAGGTTAGTATTCAAGAAATACTCAACTTTTGTTAAAGCTCTAGTATGTCTCAATTCTTTAAAAGTCTAATGAGTTTTAGTCATTCCCCCCCTTCCTGTCACATTATAAAAGTCCTCTGTAGTAGTACCATTCTTAGGAGAATAAAATTTCACCAGACTTGGTGGGTAGCCCTTCTCTGTGTGCTCATTATAATTAAAAAGACTTGCTTTCCACGTGCTTTTGATTTCACAGACATTGCCTTACAAGACCATATACTACAGTTCATTGATTCTGAGGTTCACCTTTTTTCTACCTTAATAACACTGAAATTGGGGTTGGATTTACAATTAATAGTGTCTATGTAGTTTTGGGTGTTTTTTTTTTGTGTGTGTGTGTATGGGTTTCTTTCCTTTTCTTTTCTTTTCTAATACTACAAAGGCCAAAACTGGTTTAACTCAGTGGATAGAAAGGTCCCGGGTTCGAATCCAGTCAAGGGCATGTACTGTGGTTTTGGGCACATCCCCAGTGGGAGGTGTGCAGGAGGCAGCTGATCGATGTTTCGCTCTCATCGATGTTTCTAACTCTCTATCCCTCTCTCTTCCTCTCTGAAAAAATTAATAAAACGTATTTTTTTTAAAATACATTTTAAAAAAATAGTACATCGATTGGTGTACATCAGTGACACCTGAGGTTTAATGAAATATGGTAGAGGCATTGTTTTTTTCTCCTGTCCCAACTTTGTGTGTGTGATTGATTGCTTTGGGTTTGTTTCTTTGAGAGTTCTGTGCAGTTTTCATCTCACAGTGTTTTGTTTTGTTTTGTTTTGTTTTGTTTTCTCTCCATGCTGCAAGTGCAACTAAGAAATATGTAAATATATAAGTAAGAGTTCTGAGGGAAAACTTTTTTTAAGTTCTAAATTTAATTGTATCATTGTACAAAATATTGACATTCTTATTCCAGTTGTGTCAGAAATATTCTACTTGAAATGTTACATTGAAATCACTTCTCAAGTTGCTTATGGAAAAATCTGTAATTCTTTTTAATCATGAATGGGATTGTATTTGGGCAGAAACTTCTTGCTCAGTGGTTCTCAACTTATATTATTCAGTAGAACCACTTAGAGAGCTGTTGATTTCCATTTTTTTAAAATATATTTTTATTGATTTTGTACAGAGAGGAAGGGAAAGAGAGAGTTAGAAACATCGATGAGAGAGAGTCATCGATCAGCCGTCTCTTGCACACCCCCTACTGGGGACATGCCCGCAACCAAGGTACATGCCCTTGACCAGAATCGAACCCAGGACCTTTCAGTCCCCAAGCCGACGCTCTATCCATTGAGCCAAACCAGTTTCGGCTGATTTCCATTCTTGAAGTTTTTGACCCCATTGGTCTGGAGTTAGGCCCAAAATTTACATTTTACCTAAAGTTTCCAGGTGATGCTGCCAGTCTGGGGTCCACACTTCAAGAACCTCTGCATTAGAGAATCCTTGCTGGCTCCTTTGAGTAAATAAAACATCAGGAAGTTTGTGGCTTCTCATCCAGGTTGGAGGTATATACGGCACCATAGGCAATTCCCTTTATCTCTGTGCCATTTCCAGCCCAGCAGGAAACTGGCATCACTCAAGACAGAAGAAAACCTTGTGGCTCTAAGCTACATTTAGAAGCTGTACTTTGTAACTCTTTATGAACCTCCTTGCTTACTAGTCTTTGTAGAATTTCTGAGACTGGGTTGCTAGGCTTCAGGCAGGTACAAGTGCTCATTTCCTGACAGTGTGCCTGTGTGTGCAGGAGCTGTTGTTGCTTTTGTATGTGAGTAGACTACATAGACAAGCTTGGAATGGTGGTCTCAGAGCCACCACCACCAAGGGGAACCGTTTTATAGAACCCGCTCCTAAGGTTTCAGTTGTGTAAACCTTTGGCCAACACAAAAACCTTCATACTGTAACTCATCCCTCAGGAGTTTCAGTGGGTTTTCCCCTTGTCTATTCTGTATCCTTTGCTTCTAGAAGAGTTTGGGGAAATGTTAATGAAGAATCCTGGACTAATGATTTAGATTTCAGATGGTTTTTGTTATGTGTAAAGTACATAAAGTAATCAAAACAGATGGGGTTTTCGCTTTGTTTTGTTTTTTTTAGTTGTGAAATATTTTTATTTTGAGAAAAAGCACACGGAATTGGAAGAAATGCTTGTAAAACTGCACTTTACTGCTAGGCCAGTCACAGAGGGGCGACCAGGAGTCCATGCGTTTTAATGTCTCTGTGGAGCAGATGGAGACATTCGCTGTACAGACACTGGTGACAGAACATGTCTTACAGGTGGCCTTTAACATGTTTATGTCATTCTTTCAGTATTTTATTTTACAAAAATGAATCATGTTCATTTGAGAAAATTTTTTAAGTGCAAAAGAAAAAAATTGGTAAATGCTAACCAGGAATAATCACTACTTAGAACATTTGATGTGTATTTTTTAAGTAGCTTATTAGTTAGGATTGTATAAAAAAATACTTTAATTTTAAAACTTTATTTTGTTTTCAGTAGAACTTAGATGCTGTTAATAAACTCATGTACTTGTTACTTGCAGTTTCCAATATGGTACCATTTTATATGCTTAGAAAATATGACATGGATGCTTTCCCCTACAGTAGCTCATCATCATTCAGATATGCATTTCAATATTTCATCATCTCTAAATGTTTCTTTTTACAGAAGGTATAAAATACACATTTAAGTAAAAGCATGCCAACAATATGATTTAGGTACAGAACAAGAGAACAATTAGGAGTCTATCATAGGTGGGCAATCTCAAGTCTGTGACCTTATCTCTGACTTTAGTTCCCCCCTCTATAATTGATCCTGCCCCCCCTCCCTTTTTTTAATTGACTTGGGAGAGAGAGAGAGAGAGTCATTGATCAGCTGCCTCTTGCATACCCCACACTGGGGATCGAGCCCACAACCCTGGCATGTGCTCTTGACCGGAATCAAACCCAGGAACCTTCAGTCTCAGGCCAATACTCTATCCACTGAGCTAAACCAGCTAGAGCTCCTGCCCTCTTAAGGGTTGTTAGGCCTCGGTGAATGAGGTAAATATTAGCTAAGTGTGGCTGGAAATACACACTGAGGTGCACAATGAACTAACCCAAAAGAAACTTTATATTTTAGGTACCACCTCTGTGTTTCTGTGAATTAGGCTATACAAAGCAGTGCAGAAAAGCACTTCTAACTAAACGATTTTTTTTTCTCTGAGATAAAATACTATTTTTGACTTTTTTTATGTTAAGGGAGAAAAGATCTTGGTTGCTCTCAGCCTTGTTCTTGCTGCTCTTCCCTCACCCATCGCCCTGTGCCCTGGCTCACAGAGCTGGCCCTTCCTGTGGAGCATCATCAGTGCTTTCTGTCACCCTCCCAGGCACATGTGCTCATGACAGCTAGTAATTACACTGCAGTGTCCCATGTGCTTTTTTTTTTTTTTTTTTTTTTTTTTTTAATATATTTTATTGATTTTTTACAGAGAAGAGGAGAGAGGGGTAGAGAGCTAGAAACGTCGATGAGAGAGAAACATCGACCAGCTGCCTCTTGCACACTTCCTACCAGGGATGTGCCCGCAACCAATGTACATGCCCTTGACCAGAATCAAACCTGGGACCTTTCAGTCCGCAGACCAACGCTCAACCACTGAGCCAAACCGGTTTCAGCCCCATTTGCTTTTAAAATAGAAATTACCACTCAAATCTAAAATTCAAGCATTTAGGCTTTATTTTAATTTTATTTTGTAAACTTACCACTGATTTTAATAAATTTAAGAATACTGGTCTGGCTAGTGTGGCTCAGTGGTTGATGGTTGACCTATGAACCAGGAGGTCAGTTTGATTCCCGGTCAGGACATATGCCCAGGTTTTGGGGTCGATCCCCAATAGAAGGCTGGCAGGAGGCATCTGACCAATGATTCTCCCTCATCATTGATGTTTTTGTCTCTGCCTCTCCCTTTCTCTTTGAAATGAATAAAAATATATTTTAAAAATAAAAGAAGACGACCAGAGTTAGCTAATAAGTAGCATAGATGGTGATTAGATTTGCCTATTCATCTGTTTTTATAAATACATGGAATATAATCCCAGCTGACTTGTAATACTTTTGATTGATATACATGTGCTCATAAATTTAAGGGAAATGTGGTATTTATATTGGCTAAGTGTGTTTTTTTTGCTTGGATTACTTCACGTCTTCCTAATAGTTTTTGTCATGTCACCATCGTTTCCCCCTCTGGTTAGTTACCATGGTTATTAATCACCTGAAACTTTGGGGTCTGCGCCTCCCAGGCCTGAGCACTACACCCTGGTTGTGGCTTCCAGCTGGAGCACGGCGTCTTGTCCGCGTCAGGAATGCACTGGTCCTAGATGTGCGGTGTGTTCCTGCTGCCACGTGGCCAAGGAACTAGCATTTAGGGGTCGGAGGACAAGTAAGATTTCACAGTGTGTGGCGAGATCTGGCTGTACGTTAGGAGGTACTCATGGGAAAGCATACAGGGCAATAGGAAATGTAAGAAGAATAAAGACAGTTTATTTCAGGGGGGTTAAATCAGGATGAGTAAGTCTCCTCAAAACAACACTTGTGGGTAATGTCCTTGGAATAGCATTGTAGTCTCATACTGTTTATGACTGATACTGCTATGTGATAAATACATGTTTTAATTTGCTTTTTTTGGTGTGTGTATGACCTAAAGAAGGTTTTTTTTTTGTTTTTTATTTTCAACTTTAGGGTGAAAACACAACAACTCTAGCAGTTTATCCTTCTGAGGGAAACATAGACTTAAAATATTTTCCATATTATGGGAAAAAACTGCATGTAAGTATTTAGAACATAGTGGGAACAGGCACATCCGTATAAAAATGTCACTTGTCTGGAACAGGTAGACCTGTCTTATAACTTGTGCATCATTTGTGCTTGTTTTTAAACACAAATGGTGATGGCAAATGAAGATTCCATGTCTACAATTTAAAACAAAATATTCAAGTAGAAAATATCATTATCACTTTAATTATTTAGGATGTGTTTATTTAGAGAACATAGAAAAGTGAGTAGTCAAGAAAAAAATGTTCATTACCCAGAGATAACTATATTGTGGTCTGATTTCTTTCATATTTTTTAAGTATATGTATACAAATAATTCATTTTATAAAATTGGGATCATACTGTATGTATACATAGAAAACTTTTTATTTTGAAATGATTTCAAAACGTAAAGTGGTTAAAATAGTAAAAAGAATTCCCATAGAATTCATTTGGCCCAGATTTCCCAAATGTTACTATTTTACCTCAGTTTTCTTTTTCTTCTTTTTAAAATATATTTTACTGATTTTTTACAGAGAGGAAGGGAGAGGATAGAGTTAAGAAACATGGATCAGGTGCCTCCTGCACGCCCCCTACTGGGGATGTGCCTGCAACCACGGTACATGCCCTTGACCGGAATCAAACCTGGGACCTTTGAGTCCCCAGGCCAATACTCTTATCCACTGAGCCAAACCAGTTAGGGCTACCTCAGTTTTCTTATCGGTCTTCCATTGATATATAATTTTTTCCCTAAACCATTTGGGACAAAGTTATAAACATGATGCCATTTTACACTAAATGTTTGAGAGTCATTTCCTAAAAATAAAGACATCATCTTATGTAATCATAATCTAGTCATCAAAGGAAGTTAACATGATTAGAGTACTATTACCCAATCGCAGGCCTTGCTGAGATTTCTATAGCAGTGTCCTTCATTGGAAAGGAAAAGTGTTCTGGCCCCAGGATATCACACTGTTAACACCTTCAGCACTGTGACCTGGAGCTGTTCTCAACCAGGGATAGGCCTCTCGGCTTTGTTTTGTTTGTTGCTCAGTTTGAACCTGCCTGGTGTTCTTCATGATTAAGGGTAGGTTGTACATTTTGGGCAGGTATGCCTCAGAAGAAACGCTATGTCCTTTTCAGAATACCCCTCAGCAGAGACTTAGTGTTGATTAGTCCCATTAATGGTGATAGTAACCTTGAACTCCTGCTTACAAACTGGTATCAACCAGGTTTCTCCACTGTAATCAATAAATATTATCTGGAGAGAATACTTTTGAGCCTTTTGTAAAATTGTTTCTCTCATAGCCTTAGTATTTGTTGATTCTTGCATAAATCAGTTAATAAGAGAGCAGTTCCCAATGTTTTTTTGGGGGGGAGGGGGGGGGGCATTGTGTGTGTTTGTTTTTTAACGAAGTTTTACTTATTTTTTTAAATCCTCACCTGAGGATAATTTTCCATTGATTTTTAGAGAGAGAGGAAGACAGAGAGAAACATTGATGTGAGAGAGACATACTGATGGGTTGTTTCCACATGCGCTGATCAGGGCCCGGGCCAGGGAGGAGCCTGCAACGGAGGTAGTGCCCTTGACCAGAATCAGACCTGGGAGCTTTCGATCCGCAGGCTAACGCTCTAGCCACTGAGCCAAACCAGCTAGGGCCCAAATGTTTTTCTAATTCCATCTCTCCTTTTTTCATTTACTAGTTGGCATTCTACTCTCTATCACTTATTATTTATGTATATCATCATGTTTTCATGGATTCTTATTTTATTCAAGTGTTATATATAATCTGTTATAATCACTTATTTGGTTACTAAAATTGTCCCAGATTTGGCTGGTGGGACAGGTTCAGGCTGGCTTCTCCATCCTTTTGACATGTCCCCAGGATTCTTGGAGCACTTCTTACTTTCCCTTCCAATTCTGGAATCAGGCCCTGGTGCCTTTTAGTGAAGAATTGTATTTAGAAATCATAATGATAGGCAACTGAATATATTTGTGCCATGTTTATAAGTAGGGATATAAGAGACCTAATTAATGTAATCAGTAAGGTGGATCTTATGCACATTTATCAAACGAAATAATATGGAGGTAATACAGTACAGATCCTCAAGCACACCTGGAACAGTCACAAAAATTTATCATTAAAAAATACATCCTAGCCATAACCGGTTTGGCTCAGTGGATAGAGTGTTGGCCTTCAAACTGAAGGGTTCCAGGTTCGACCCCAGTCAAGGGCATGTACCTTGGTTGTGGGCACATCCCTAGGAGGGGGTGTGCAGGAGGCAGCTGATAAATGTTTCTAACTATCCCTCTCCCTTCCTCTCTCTAAAAAAATAAAATAAAATATATTAATGTGTGTATATATATAAATATATATATAAATATATATACACACACACACACACATATATATATATATATATATAGAGAGAGAGAGAGAGAGAGAGAGAGAGAGAGAGAGAGAGAAAGAAATCTAGCCCTGGCCAGCTGCCCAGTAGTTAGAGCATCAGCCCATGCACCAGAGGATCATGGATTCAATTCCTTCTCAAGGGCATCAATGTCTCACATCAATGCCCCCACCCCTTCCACACTCTAAAAATCAGTGGGGAAAAATATCCTTGGGTGGGGATTAACCAAAAAAATTAATTAAAGAGCATTTCTCCAAAAAGAGAGGTAGTCAATATTTTTATTGAACAATGCTTGAGTGAAAGGGAAAATTCAAACCAAAATCGTAGGATATCTAAAAAATACTGGTAATGAAACAAGATAATCACAGCCCATGGGATACTTTTAAAGCAGTACTCATGCCCTAACCAGTTTGGCTCAGTGGATAGAACATCAGCCTTGCAGACTCAAGGGTCCCAGGTTCGATTCTAGTCAAGGGCATGTACTAAGTAGGGAGTATGCAGGAGGCAGCTGATCAATGTTTTTCTCTCATTGATGTTTCTAACACTCTATCCCTCTTCCTTCCTCTGTAAAAAATCAATACAATATATTTAAAAAAAAAAAAAAAAAGACTATTGACTCTCAAGGTCATGGAAATTATTAAAAAATAAAGCAGTACTCAGGAAAATTTATAGCCATAACTACTCATCAATAAAAATTAAGTGAAAATAAATGAACATTCAGTTTTAAGGGGGGATAGTAGTGAATGGGATATAATAGATCTAATTAATAGATTAAAATTTTGGTTTTTAAATTTTACAGAATAAACCAATTCTTGATGAAGTGTAGATGAGGTTACTTTGAATTTGAATTGATATGTTTTCCTTTATTTACCAGGCGAGTTATCTACAGCCATTAGTTGCTGTCCAGTTCAACTATACTGCTAGCAGTACCCCAGAAGAAGTAACAGTCGAGTGCAAGATTGTTGGATCAAAAAACCTGAAAAACTATGATGATCGTGACAAGTTTTTAGGACGAGTTGTTTTCAAAATCACAATGAGTGCATAGTAGGAGTTAGAATATGTCCACAGAGTAAATGTGTTGTCTGTCTTTATTTTGCATCAGCCGGACCTGACATTCTAGAGTGTGAGACCACCTGAGAGGTGGGTGGTACATGACGCCGCGGTAACGTTGTATGTGCTTCCCGGTCTTGTGTTCGGTGTCCTCTGAAGTAACTGCCTGTTGCTCTGCTGCCTTTGGGACATTGTACAGTCGTCAGACGGGGACTGTGAACACCTGATTCTGAACATGTGGGTCTTGTCCTATTTTTTTATGTGGTTTAATTGCCAAGTGTCTAAAGCTTAATGTGCTGTGCCATGTAAATATTTTATAGATTTAACACTGGTTAACTGTCATATATTGATGCCAACCAAGTTTTAGGGGTAAAATGGTACCTGACCAACATGAAGTGACTTCACAGCTGCAAGAAACGTGTGGGGAGAAGTTCTGTGTGTGAGGAGGAAAAAAAAGAAAATAAAAGCGGATTTGAAAGGTTGTCTTGGGTTTATTGTAACGTTATTTTTTACATGCTGAATTAGCCTGTGGATCTTTTTTATTAAGAACAACAACTGTTGCCCTAGCCGGTTTGGCTCAGTGGATAGAGCGTCTGCCTGTGGGCTGAAAGGTCCCAAGTTCGATTCTAGTCAAGGACATAATTCTGGTTGCAGGCTCCTCCCTGGCCCAGGCCTTTGTTGGGGTGCATGCGGGAGGCAACCAATTGATTTGTTTCTCTCAAATCAATATTTCTCTCCATTAAAAAAGTAAAAGAACACAAACTGTTCATTATAGAACATGTAAAGAAAAAGTGATGGGATTATTAGTGCTGGAACTAAATCTGTTATGAAAAGTATTTTAGACCATAGATGAAGCAGCATTTTTAGGTTACCCAGTATGAATATGCATCTATTTAAAAAAAAATTTTTTTAATTGATTTCAGAGAGTGAGGGAGAGGTGGAGAGAGAGAGAAACATCAATGATGAGAATCATGGATCACCTGCCTCCTGAACACCCCTTACTGGGGATTGAGCCCGCAACCCGGGCATGTGCCCTTGACCGGAATCAAACCCAGGGCTCTTCAGTCTGCTGGCCGACACTATCCACTGAGCCAAACCAGCTCGGGCTATGTACCTACCTGTTTTAATGAAATTAAATTCCTAAGATTTAAATTGTGAAATACTTTGTTACTACTTTTATTTAGTAGACTGTTGTCTCTAATAAAAAAAAAAAAAAAACATGAAGTGTAAACTATAAAACATGAAACTTACTCAAAACTTCCAAACGAACAGTAGAGTTCTATTTCAGCATTTGGTTGGTGTCACTGGAAGTTTCCCTCCTCCTCAGGAGTCTGTTACAAGCCTCTGTCACAATGGGAGGTACCGAGAAGGTGGCTTACTGTACGATTCCCCCTTTTTTTTTTAAGCCTATTTTTTTTATTTTCTCCTTAAAACACAAAACTGATATTTCCAAGGTTTTCTTTGTGTTGGTGCGACTCAGGAGCAGCGGGCCCGGCTGGCTGGCTCAGACACGGTTCTCTGGGCCTCAGCTGGCAGGTGGGCCTGGGTTCCCGAGGTGAGGTGGCCTCCACGGGCACTGGCCCTTCGGCCCCATCCGGAGCTGTCCCTCCGACCTTAGTGACAGCAGGTTCACTTTAGACGTCTCAGCAACTGACGGCGACGATTCTTGCAGTTGTTCATGAAGAGCCTCTTCTGGGCTTTGCTTGTCCTCGGTCCTGTCTCCTGAGAGTGAAATGGGGGTCAGAAATGCAGTGACACCAGCGCAGTGCCAGATCCCCAGCAGCTGTCGACTCTGGCTTATGTGCCATTCATATGATTGAGCATATAATTACATTTCTCTGGTGTGTTTTAAAGTAGTCTATGGGTTTACCTTGCTTTAATGAGCTTAGGTAAAAGCAAGCCTGTTCACAGACTGAGACAAGAATATCCAAAGTGGGGGGGTGTTGGGTTTGGGAGAGAAAAATGGGAATGCCCCTAAGTCACTGATTTGTAGTTGTGCCTGCGTGGTTCCGGCGTCGCCCAGACTGACTGCTGTCTGACCTTGGTTGACCAACCCAAGTCTTCCTCTTCGTTTTCTATTAAAATTCAGGGAGTTCAACTCTATCACAGGCCTGCTGTGTGTTGGGTAATGATTTGCTGGATTCTGAAGCTACAGAGATTTAAAAAAAAAAAAAAAAAAAAAAAAATGGTCTCTCGAGGATGTTGAATTAGGAGCAAACAGGCTCTGAGACCTGTGGCTTGTTAACCACGGTGACAGCAGTTACGGTTAAGGAGTGGGGCAGGGTGTAGGAGCTGGGTTGGGGTCAGATGCGTGGCTGGAAGCGAAGGGAGGCCTGGACAGTTCCATCCCATTTCTGCCACATTGCAGGTTTTCCTTAGAGCTTCGCTGGGTGTCCAGTGCGGCTTCCGATTCCCGATGAGAGTTTCTGCAGGCCCAGCAACCTGCTGTGTGGGGTCGGCTGCTTGCTCATGGACCACAGCTTGCACCAGGGGCTGTAGACAGGCAGCTCCCGCCTCCTTAGGGAGGGAGCCTGGCAGTGAGGTGCCGCCTAGGAGCACTCCCAGCATCTGTGGCGTCTCCTGGAAGAGACCTTCCCACGGGACCTGTCCATGAGCGTTCGTTTGGGGGCAGAGGGAGGAGGAGTTGACTTTAAGTCCTGGTTTGCGTTTGGTGCTTACAAACCTTATGCAGTTCTCGTCACTGTAAATCAAGAGCTGTAAGGATTGAAGGAGAAAATGGTGCACAAAGTGCCAGCGTGGGAGTCCATGTACTTATCCCTTCCCAAAGGCTCCCCTCGTGAGGTTCAAGACCTCCGGACCTTGCTTTCTCTGTGCGAGATACCGGAGGGCACCCCCTGGAGGTGTAGGGCAGGCACCTCTTGCGTGAAGAGAGCTGTGCCAAGTGGCTATCAGTACTCCTGAGAAGAAAGAGCCTCAGTCGGGTTTGTTTGCTTGTTTTAATGTTTATTGAGCAACTAGTGTGTACCTGGCACTGCACTAGGAGGTTGGGATACACTGGGCATCAGAACAAGGTCCCTGACCTGGAGCTTGCACCCAACAGCTGAAGCCACAGCGAGAGTAAAACCGTGTCTGGTGGGCGCACCGAGTGGCAGGTGTCCTCTCTGCTTTGACTAGAGGGCAGTGGCCTCTGGGAGCCAAGTGCGGGGGCCGGAGGAGGCTGGTGTGCGAGGTCACAGGAGGGCTTGCCTTCAGTCCCAGGTGCACTGGGCTGGCTCGCTGCCAGCAGTCAGCCGGTCGGTGGAGTCTCTGAGGAGACAAGTTGCAACTGATCATAAATTCCTTTGAGGCGGGAGCCACCCAGAGGGATGGCAGTAACCATGCCTGCCAACATGATCTTCAGGACACTTGCTAGTTATACTCTTAAAACAATAAAGGATTGCAGAAGGCCCATGAGGTCCTAAAAAATAACTCCAAAGGACAAGAAGGTCAACCTGTATAGCAAGCAGAAGTTAAAAATCCATATTAGCTGGAAGAGAATACTGTGATGTTTATAGGTGTAATACAAGTATATGGTTGGTTTTTTTTTAAATATTTTTGTCCCCCCCCCACTTTACAAACGTCTCCCCTCCCCTGATTTTCCACCTCCACCCGGTTCCCACCCCACCCCAGGCCTTCATTACCCTGCTCTGTGTCTATAGGTAAGTGGTCAATCTCTTTTCCCACCCTTGTTCCCTCTGAGATTAATCAGTCTGTTCCAACTTCATGCTTCTGATTCTGTTTATTTCTATCATTTATTTTGCTCATTTGGTTTCTTGTTAATTTTGATTTTTAGATTCAATTGTTGATAGATGTGCATCTGTTGCCATTTTATTGCTCATATTTTTAACTTTTCCTTCTTTTTCTCCTCCCTCCTCTTGCTCCTCCTCTTCCTCCTCTTAAAAAATATCCTTCAACATTTCATGTGATACTGGTTTGGTGGTGATGAATTCCTTTAGCTTTTTCTTGTCTGTGAAGCCTTGATCTACCCTTCAATTCTAAATGATAGTTTTGCTGTAGAGTAATCTTGCTTGTAAGTTCTTGCTATTCATCACTTTGAATATTTCTTGCCACTTTCCTGGCCTGAAAAGTTTCTGTTGAGAAACCAGTTGACAGTTGTAGTTGAGCCTTGTAGGTAACTAACTGCTTTTCTCTTGCTGCTTTTAAAATTCTTTGTCTTTAACCCTTGACATTTTAGTTATGATATGTCTTGATGTGGTCCTCTTTGAGTTCCTCTTATTTGGGACTCTGTGCTTCCTGGACTTGTAAATCTATTTCTTTCACCAAGTAGGGGAAATTTTCCGTCATTATTTCTTCAAATAGGTTTTCAATATCTTGCTCTCATCTGCTCTGTCATCTCACCCCCATAATTCGTTTGTTGGTACGCTTGAAGTTGTCCTAGAGGCTCCTTACACTGTCTTCATATTTTGGGGGGTTTTCCTTTTTCTCTTCTTTTGCTTGGGTGTTTCTTACTTCCTCATATTCTAAATCATTGATTTGATTCTCAGACTCCTCTACTGTTGAATGCCTGTAAATTATTCTTGGCTTCAGTCAGTGTAGGCTTAATTTCTGATTGTTCCTTTCTCGTGTCTTTGATATTCTCACTAAAATCTTTGAAGTCTCATATAACCATGGTTTTTAACTCTGTACCCAATAGTTTGCTTGCTTCCATTTCTTTCATTTGTCACATGTTTCTTTGTCTCCTCGCTGTGGCTGCTGCCCTGTGTCTGTTTCTGTGTACTGGGTAGCGCTGCTCTGTCTCCTGGAGTTGGTGGAGTGGCCTGTGTAGCAGGTGGTCCTGTAGGGCCCGGTGGCCCAGCCTCCCCCGTCACCTGAGCCGGGCACTCTAGGTGCTCCCCTGTGTGGGCTATGCACAGTCTTGTAGTTGAGCCTTGATTGCTGTTGGTATCACTGGGAGGAGTTGACCTCCGGACCAGTTGGCTGTGAGGACCAGCTGTGGCTCCATTGGCAGAGCTCCTGTGCAGGAAACACCCCTAT